AAAATAAAAAGAACAGTCAGAAAAGATGAAAAAGCAATTCCTGTTTTGGTGCTTGTCTCGTTGTTGCTCCTCTTATGCCCTTGTTGTTAATTTCTTTAACAACAAAGCAGCTGAAACTGATTAACAACTCCGACTGCTACTTAACTGAGCGCATCAATACCCCAGAAGTGTAAATGACTTGAAGCTGTACTCTCATTAAAAAGTCTTCCTTTAATCCGTCCACAGCCAAAACCTGGGTTGGCTTGTTTCTTTGACCTGTCTGTCATGGTTTTGAGTTTGTTTTAAATCGTTCTATTTTTATTTTGTAATCCCCTCAACTCAGTCTCTACCCCACACTCCTGTAATAATCTACGCTGCTCTCAGGATTCGCTTGTATTCAATCACTTGTGTTCAATTATCCAATCAGATCTTTCTCCAGTGTGGGTATATAAATATGCTGGTTTCCTTCTGTCACTTCCTGGATTCTCTTTTCACAAGTCGGACTTCCAGACACGTTTATTTTCTCCTCATTTTTCTTGATAGTTGACCTTTTCCTGCATGACTTCTGGACTCGTCTATGTGTTCTGCCTTTTTCCAGCTCCTTCGCTGCTTTGTCTGCCTGGTTGACTGCCTACTCGTGCATGCTTTTGGCCTGGATGAACTTTTCCACTGTCTCCTGTGTTTTACTTTCCTCCTTTGAACATTACAGATTTCCTCCTCATCCACTGCAGCTAAGTGACCTAAGGAGGTCATGAGCATCAAACTATCCCACATCACCTGCATGTCATCACTGCCCTCCACAGCACATTACCCGCCTGACCCAGCGGTGCAAGTGTAACAGCTGCTGCCAGTCAATACATGCAAGCATTCAACTTTTCCATTTTTTGTGTTTTTCCTTTTTCACCCCGGCCTTCAGGCCTGGCTTATTTTTAAACCTCACGTACATTAGCACATGTGTGCCATCATTTCAGACATATTTATTTATTAATTATTGTTGTTACTATTTGTTCTGTGGCAGTTGTTTGAAAACAGTCTATAAATCAGTTTGTTTAACCATGTGTACAGTTCTCGTAATTTTAATTTGGCCTCCGTTTTTATAGCTGTAGATTCATATTTGGATTTTTTAAATGGTTTAAGACACTTCTAATCACAACTATTGCAAATCAGCTTGATGGACACGACCAATTGATTCTGAAATTTAAAAAAAAAAAGCTGGATTCCCTCCGAGTGTGGCCACTTTGTAAGCATGAATTTATCCATTGAAAGTGATCCTGACAGAAATCAACTCCTATTCTTTCAATATTAGACTAACAAGACTTGCTTTTGCACTGCGAGTATGTTTCAGAGCCGAATTTGGTTTTTGCTTGTCACTTTGAAGACTCCTATATCAGAGCTCTTGTCTCTCAGGAGACTGCATGTAACCTGAGAGCCTCCAGCAGAAAAACTGCATCTAAAAGTGCAACTAAATCAACACCACAAACCACTTGGGAAAATCAAATGAAATAAGTTCTTGACCTCTTGTACAAGACACACACTTACCAGAGATCCTTTGCTGATTTTATTTAATAGTTATTGATCCCCTTATATTCTCTTTAAATGCTTCCCTGTGGGGGTGTTATGTTGTCTAAAATCATTTTATACTAAATTGGTTTTATGTCTTGTATGGTGGTTCATTTTCTTCACTTCAAAATTGAAGTGCTTTATAAACTGAGACCAGATGTTTTTTAGGTAATAAAAAATGTGAGGCTCAAAGTTGAGATTACTTGAGAGTTTGTCCTTGTAGTTTCTATTCGTGTGATGAATAACTACAAACATCAGTGCAGTGGTTGGCAACATCGGCTCACAGCAAGATGTTTCTGGGTTTGAAACATCCCCACAAACAACATGTGTTTTTTTTTTATAGAGGAACAAATGTTAACTCTACCTGCACTGGTACTCTGCATGGCTTCCTCCCATAGTCTGCAAACATGCTAAGCTAACTGATTGTAGGCATGAATAGTTGTCTGTCTCTGTGTTACCCTGTAATAGACTGGGGACCTGTACAGGATGTACCCTGCGTCTCACTCTATGACAGCTGGTATAGGTTTTAACCTTAAGTGGAAGAAAATCGATGGATGGATGAGACTGCATCATCTAAAGCATATTGGCCTTTTTTCAATCAAAAACCATACACACTCATCTTTACTAAAAAAAAAAGAAAAGAAAAAAGAACTTGTTTTGGGTTATTTTACATAATCACAAACATTTAATTAAAACTACAACGGAGATGTCTGGTACTGTCCCACTTCTACATCTAAAAATATCAAACATCAAGATTATTTTCTATTTTTTCTATTTTCTATCAAACTATACATACTTAGGGATGCAAATAAACCTCTGCACTCACACAGACCTATTGTTCTGTTCTTCAAGATGCCTGCATCAGCTAGATTGCGGTGCAGGAGGTGGGGGGGGGGGGGGGGGGGGGGCATTTTAGTGTGTGTGTGTGTGTGTGTGTGTGTAGAAGGAGACGGGTAGGTGGGTGGGAATACTGCAGAGTTGGCAGCTGGAGCCAATAAAAGACCGCCCTGTGGAAATTAGATGTAAAGGATTTTTGGCAACTTC